GTTGATGCACGCATCTTTGCTTGAGACATTCAGTTTCACCGTAGTGCATCCTGTCTCACCGTAGCGCATCGGCGTGAGTCAAGCATCGGCGTGAGTCAAACAGAACGGTCTGACACTCCATCGAAAATCAATCAAGCTGCCAATTCCTTTTGCACATATAGTTGTGCCGGGACATCACTGAATGTGATCTGTCACAGTCATTAGTCATAGTCCTTGAATGCTTTGCAGGTCCGCATTGTTGGTCTGTGCAGCTAAGTTTGCATGGAGTCAGGGCCCTGGGATGGGATGGATTACCTGGATAGGCAGGCTGCTACCACAAAGAGACAAATCGATATATTATATATTGAGATACAGCTAGAGATATGATATAAAGATGGATGTATGACTGTTAATATATAGAGATGGATGTATGAGTGTTAAGATAAGAGTTTCACTTCAAGTCACAGTCAGGAGGCAGGACCCTAAACCCAAAAAGCGCATGGAAAGGAGCACAAGGGCCATCCCATTATATCATCTTGTAATACTGTGCTTGTCCCAGCCCAGAAACGTTCGCCGCCTGCCAGGTCCGCCCGTTTATACTTCTTTTTGGGGAGATGGCAAAACCACCTTGGTTGGGGGGCCCCAAAGCACACAGCCCTCATGACATGTTTATACATGCTGGTTTCGAGTAAGAGCATTTCCTTTTTCCGGTTCACATGGAAATGGGACTTCACCACGCCACCCCATCGACACATGCACGCACGATATAAGGTATACGTGTCCAGGCTCCTCCTCAGGTCTTATGACTTTCAATTGAAGTGATGGTGTACCATGGTCACGCCATCAACCATGGTACATCTATTGTCACTTCCTCCCAATTGAATCTATGATAACCTTTGGCCTGCAGTGCCAGTAACCCTGGTTCCCCCCAGATCTCTTGTTGTGGGCAGATAGGCCTCTCTCTGGACGGACGGACTTTTCTAAGTAAAGAAAAGCAAAAAAAATATTTTCTGTTGCTTCTTCAAAGTGATCCCCTTTGAGATGGTCCATTGAACTTTTTTGGGATTGATCGAGTGGCTTCAAATTGATGGTTAACGATGTCATTTTGAAGAAGCAAGTAACTAGCTATTTCCTGGAGAAGAACATCACGGCGATCACCAAGGTCATCACAGATGTGTGAAGAAAAGGTGAGCAAGGAGTATAGGAGCTTTGGGCCTTGGACTAGGAGATCCACTGGCGGGCTGAGTATGTGCACTTAGCCGTTGTTCATTGGATGGCAGGTTCTGGAATGGAACAACATCATTGCATTCTGTGAAGGACCGAACCGTTCATTTGCTCGGAACATCACCAAAGGACGGGAGTGCCGCTTGGATGACCAGTGGACATCCTGGATGCGATGCGGCAACACACAAACAGTGTCCAGTGCACGATGGACGACCAGGTTGTCACCGTGCACGCTTTGGTTCAGCTGCTGCAAGCAGTGATGGCTTCAAGCTTTTGCAGGACAATATCGGGACTGACAAAAGTTTTAGTTAGGCCCGCCATGACATTACACACTTGGTCACGTATTGTGATGAGGTGCACATCGTCGAGTCGTCATCTTAGATCTTTACAATATTTAGCTTAACATTAGCTTTCAGACTTTGATAATAGGTATATAATTATGGCCTGCTCCTATAATACTTTGAGGGGATAGGATGGTTCCCCCACCCTGGCGGGGGGCCAGGTCGATTCTTTGTCTTCTCAACACCTTAGCGAGCAGCTTAGTTATTTGATGTTTAACTTTGATTCTTGTATTGCAACCAGAACTGTCTGAGCAATACAAAGTACAAATACATGGTACGAACTTCACCCCTCCGTCGAAATGCTGAGGTGGCCAGCAATGTCCGCCGCCTGCCAGAACCACCCTGGTTGGGGGGCCCCAAAGCACACCGCCCTCATGAGACAGGATACGAATTTCGCAGATCGAGGTCGTGGTAGTACCTGTTCATATTATATAGCATGGTAGTTGGATTTTACCTAAGGTCCGTGGAGGTGCCCAGATAAAGATCAACCGCGGTAGCCACTGATGTCAATTGAATTTGAAAATGAAGTGCATCAGCATGAGTCAACCAGAACTGTCTGAGACTTGCTGATGCACGCATCTTTGCTTGAGACATTCAGTTTCACCATAGTGCATCCTGTCTCACCACAGTGCATCGGCGTGCGTCAAGCAGAACGGGCTGAGACTCCATCGAAGATGAATAAAGCTAAGCTGCCGATTCCTTTTGCGCATATAGTTGTTGGTCTGTGCAGCTAGGTTTGCATGGAGTCAGGGCCCCGGGATGGGATGGATTACATGGATAGGCAGGCTGCTACCACAAAGAGACAAATCGATATATTTTATATTGAGATAGGAATAGCAATATGAAATAGAGATGGATGTATGAGTGTTAATATATAGAGATGGATGTATGAGTGTTAAGATAAGAGTTTCAATTCCAGTCACAGTCAGGAGTCAGGACCCTAAACCCATAAAGAACCAACTTATATCATATTGTAATACTGTGCGTGTCCCAGCCCAGAAACGGTCGCTGCCTGCCAGGTCCGCCCGTTTATACTTTTTTTCAGGAGATGGCAAACCACCTTGGTTGGGGGGCCCCAAAGCACATAGCCCGCATGACATGTTTATACATGCTGGTTTCGAGGCACCACCCCGTCGGATTGCTGAGGTCGCCACGACAACGATGACTTCGCTGTGACTACATGGGCCGGCCTCTGTGTAAAAGCGTCTGTGTGTACAAGTGATTGTGTGTAAAAGCGCTTGTGTTTAAAGCCGTCTGTGTGTAAAAGCGTCTGTGTGTCAAAGTGTTTCTGCGTAAAAGTGTTTGTATGTAAAACCGTCTGCGTAAAAGCGTTTCTGTGTTCTGTGTGTAAAGCTGCGTAAAAGTGTTTGTGTGTAAAAGCTTCTGTGTGTACAAGCGTCTGCGTGTAAAAGCGTCTGTGTGTAAAAGTGTTTGTGTGTAAAAGTGTTTGTGTAAAAGTGTTTGTGTGTAAAAGTGCCTGTGTGTAAAAGCGTCTATGTGTAAAAGCTTCTGTGTGTCAAAGCGTTTGTGTGTAAAAGCAGCTTCTGTCTGTAAAAAGGTCTGTGTGTAAAAGTGTCTGTGTGTAAACATGTCTGTGTGTAAAAGTGTCCGTGTAAAAGCGTCTGTGTGTAAAAACATCTGTGTGTAAAAGCGTCTGTATGTAAAAGCTTCTGTGAGTAAAAGCTTTGTGTGTAATAGCCTCTGTGTAAAAGCTTCTGTGTGTAAAAGCTTCTGTGTGTAAAAGCTTTTGTGTGTAAAAGCGTCTGTGTGTAAAAGTGTTTGCGATGCAAACTATTGTCTTGCACTTCTCGCTATTTTGTCTTGCTACTCCTCTTCTCGACTGCCTATTTCATATATTGTTTGTAAAATTGTGTCTCCATACTAACAAGAGAAGACCCTGCTCCTCAACGCTCTCGGGCCATCCGTCGTCTAGTTTTCACGGGTTTTCACTGTCTTTTCACGGGTTTTTCACGGTCGTTTCACGCACGTTTCACGCTCTGGGTTTGGAGTGGGATTTGTTTGAAACTCTGGAGTCCGGTATATATTTATACTAGTACTCATTGGGCCTGATAATGCCCAGTAAGTAAACACATGTCGCTTCCAAAGACCAAGTTAAACTTTGTCGTTGTGAAAGCCCCAGTTAAACTTTGTCGAAGACTGAGTGGGTTCCCTTCCCTTTCAACTCTTCCCTTTCAACTCTTCCCTTCCGTTCCCTATACGGCGTACCTTTCGCTTCAACTCTTCTCTTCCGTCCACTATTACTTCCTCCCCATCGTTTCAACGCTTCCATCCTGTTCATTTAAACTAAACCTCTCCCTTCGGGGGGCAATTCGTATTTGGGGACTTCGTCTTCGGGGCGCAATTCGTCTTCGGGGAATTCGTCTTCGCAATTCGTCTTCGGGGAATTCGTCTTTGCAATTCGTCTTCGGGGCGGAGTTCGTCTTCGGGGCGCAATTCGTCTTCGGGGAATTCGTCTTCGCAATTCGTCTTCGGGGAATTCGTCTTCGCAATTCATCTTCGGGGCGGAGTTCGTCTTCGGGGCGCAACTCGTCTTTGGGGAATTCGTCTTCGCAATTCGTCTTCCGTGGGGAATTCGTCTTCGGGGAATTCGTCTTTGCAATTCGTCTGCGGGGCGAAATTCGTCTTCGGGGGGCAATTCGTCTTCGGGGAATTCGTCTTCACAATTCGTATTCGGGGCGGAATTCGTCTTCGGGGGGCCATTCGTCTTCGGGGAATTCGTCTTCCCAATTCGTATTCGGGGGGGAATTCGTCTTCGGGGCGCAATTCGTCTTCGGGGAATTCGTCTTCGCAATTCGTCTTCGGAGGGGAATGCGTCTTCAAGGCGCAATTCGTCTTCGCAATTCGTCTTCGCAATTCGTCTTCGCAATTCGTCTTCAGGGAAGAATTCGTCTGTGGGGCTCAATTCGTCTTCGGGGAATTCGTCTTCGGAATCCGTCTTCGGGGGGGAATTCGTCTGCGGGCCGCAAAAATCGTCTTCGGGGAATGCCTCTTCGCAATTCGTCTTCGGAATTCGTCTTCGTCTGCGGGTGGAAAAGTGATACCCGCACAGCGGCCTCAATGCTCATACATATATATTAATGTATATACATATATATTGATTCATTGATTGATTTATTGATTGATTCATTCATTGATTGATTTATTTATTTATTTGGTTATACACTTATTTATTGCATTGCATTGCATTGCATAACATTACATAACATAACATAACATACATACGTACATACATACATACATATGACCATTTGATAGATGATGACAGATGATGACAGGTGATGACAGATGATGACAGATGATGACAGATGATGACAGATAATGACAGATGCACACATGTACACTACAGGCATTCCGTTGTTCTATGGGATTCTATGGTTGACCATGATTCCAACCATACCGCCAATTTTCCTCTGGCGCTTGCAGTGGCTCCCAAGCCTGCACGAAGGGAATCTCCACAATCTTTTCGATGGTCTGAATTTGTGGAACCGCAATCTGCTTCACAACCGGCACATCAATCACCTGCCGTTTCAATTTGGCAAGGATCTCAAGGCTACCATGTCAGATAAGCAGAACATCTGCCTAAGCGGTGCCGGAGGATGGTCAAACCCCCAAGCTTAAATTGGCTCATGTCCTTCATCTGTTGGCTCCCCATGCTGATCATCTTAAAGGCTCATCAACCCAGATTAAATCAATTACATACTCAATGACTCATTACTAGCCAAAATAATGCTGCTTCATCACCTTTTCTCTCCCCAAAATCTTGCTGTTTTTTGCTTGGTTCACCCCATTTCCCTTAGTTCCTATGGGGCCCAGCCAGCCACGCAAAAAACAAACGCGCCTTCTCAGTGGTCTCAATGACGTTCACCTCCACCGGCTTCTCAACGGGTACCTGCACTGGCACCTGGCGATGCTTCTGCACCGGGATGTGGATGTGCGTGTCCACGAACCTAACAGAGCGTCGCCGTGCTGGGTCAGATGTGGAAAATGCATGACCCAGCCACAAGATGGGGGGGCGATAGGTTGCTGGGCCGAAAATGATGATTGACAAAAGTGGCGGGTGTAGTGGTACACAAACCGAAGCAACAAGGCCAGCAAAGTCAGGGTCAAGTCCTTGGGGTACCAAATGTTGACCCACAAACGGCCATTTTAGTACGCGTCGGGCTGGTAGAAGTTCGCGCGTGTTTTTGGGGGTACATGATCAAATCTCCTGCGTTTTACAGAGTTTTTTTGGTTGGAGTTTAGAAGAGCAAAACGAACTAACTTTTTGAAGGACGTGGGGATGTTTTCTGTAAAACCCAAAAGACATCCCGGCGCGGTGACAACCGCTCTGTGTGTATGTGCAAGAGAAGATGTTTCTAGCGTAGCGGGAACTATGTGTGCATGTGCAACAAAAAACATGTGTAGCGTAGCATGAAGAATGTGTGTGTGTGTGTGCAAGAGAAAATGTCTCTAGCGTAAAAAGACGTATGTGTGTAAGTGCAATTGAACATTATTGGCCCCACCCCACCCAAACCACCAAAAATGTATATGGCATTGCGGTTTTCAACCAGCCCGACACCTTTCAGTAGTTTCTGAAACCCTGAAATGTACCAAATGGATCCCAATGGGTTTATCATGATTTATCTATGTTTATCTATGTTTATCTGAAAATTCAAGGCAACCCCAAAACCCGCATGGCTTGGAATGAGTATCTAGATCATTCGATCAAGCCGTCAGCAAAAAAGACCAACGCCTCCAAGTTGCTCGACTTGAGGGATCTCCACGATCTTCTCAACTTGGGTAATCATAGGGACGTTCACCTGACATGCTATGGCCAAGGGATGCCATGGGATGCCATGGGATGCCATGGGATGACCTTGGAGATGCGGCAGTCGCGCCTGCTTCTGGACAGGGATGGGGACCACTTTGTCCACATACTGAACCTGAGGAATCTCTACAACCTTCTCCACTTTCGACACCATGGGCACGTTCACCTGTTCGCAGGGGTAACAGGGGTGCCTTCCTTAAGCATATAGTGATTGGATGTGATCGGAACACGGGATGGCAAGAATTCATGCACTCCGTGTTATCTACACCATCTTCAACTGCTGCGCCAATGGACACTCGCTACACGCACAAAAACATTTGCATCTGTTTCACTCTTCGCCTGTTTGGCCACAGGGATTTGCATGACCTCATCCACAAACTCCACCTGCGCCACGGGAGATACCATCTGCTGTCTGGCTGAGTTTCCATCTGCCAAGTTCTGCACCCTTCACGAAAGCAGCATGGAAGCTGATGTGCATTAACCGGATCTGATCAGGAAGCAGATATGGTGTTTCTGTACACGTCTGAAACTTGGGACCTGTCTCACGACTGTTCTTTGCTTGGCCGGATTTTCGGATTTTCGGATTTTCCAATTCTTGGATATTCTTGGTGTCTACCCTCTGGTAAACTAACATAGCTATTGAAAATGGCCATAGAAATAGTGAGTTTTCCCATTAAAAATGGTGGATCTTTCCATAGTTATGTAAACGTTTACCAGAGGGTAGCGTCAATCAAGCACCATCATTAATTTGTCGGTCGGAAACCCCGCTGCTAGCCCCGCTACTGGCACCTGTGGCACCTCAACAGATCGCTGCACCTTTTCGACCATAGGCACCTGCACCTGCAGGAGGGATCTTCAATGGATTGGCAGGGAAATCCACTGGAAATACCCATATTTCATTTGAAAAATAATGGGGAAATTGAAAAACCTGTAGATTCGTTTATTCGAAACCAAACCATGAAGAGATCTGGGATTCCCAAAGTAGTTATGTGGAGAATCAGTGATGACTAATGATGACTAATGATTATGAATGGCTATGAACGATTATGACATATTATGACATATTATGACATATTATGACATATTATGACATATTATGACATATTATGACATATTATGACGGTTGATGGGAGGCAAGTAATGAAAAAGTGAGACATAACGACTGAGTGACTGGATGAGTGCCAAAGTAATCATGCAAATAATTGTATTTTTATGTATATGTGTTGCAGCAACTAGTGATTTATGGTTGGTGTTTGTAAACCTTTGGAGCCTTGGCACAGGTCGCCCTCGCCTGCTGGAAAGGGATGTGCACCTGCTTCTGAACCGGAACATCCACGACTTGATCGTCATATTCCACCTGAGGAACCTCCACCATCTTCTGCACCTTTTGGATCATCGGCACCTGGACATGCTTCGCCACTGGAACCTCCACCACTTGCTCTTCAATCTCGATCTGCGGCACATCCTGAGTGCTCAGGATGTTGGCAAACAACCCTGAGGTTTCGTCTTGCGATTGGCGGACTCAAACAAATGCCCTTGTGAGACATTGCATGACCAGCTTGCAGCAGTTTGACCACTAATTACTCACTTGCGAAACAGTGTGAATGAGAGGAAACAGCTTGGTGCTTTGAAGCGGGAGAAAAAATCTCATGTTTTTTTTACTAACAGCTGGAAAAAATGGACCATGTCAGCTCCCCCAAAAATGGTAAGAGATGATAACAAAAGCGCAGGCGGTTGACAACTTTTCCAAGGGTCCACGATCTTTTGCACTTTTTGAATCATGGGAACATGCACATGCTTTGCCACCGGCACTTCCACCACCTGCTCTTCGATCTCGATCTGTGGAACGTCCACCACCTTCTGTACCTTTTGGATCATCGGCACCTGGGGGCAAGTCGGCAAGCTGCGGTTTGATGCAACCAGCTCGGTCTCATGCAGACTGCTGCGATGAGCTGTTGGAACATCAAGATGGACACCAAAGGATCATAAAAGATCTGCATGATTCCTCTGCCAAATGCCCTGTGAATCTGCATGGGACCTGGAAGATCATGGAAGCATACTTCAAGTGGTACAGCATTTCCTTCCCCGACCTACCGACAGGCTCCCAGCTCCCAAGAGTTTGACCCGTTGCCACCTGGACATGCTTTTGCACTGGAACTTCCACCACCTTGTCCTCGTATTCGATCTGCGGCACGTCAACCACCTGACAAGGGCAGCTGCCAAAGCTCTCGATGCCAAACCATGGGAGTTTGGGAGTTTGGGGCAAAGGCAAAGGCATAGCCCATCCAACTCGCATGATGAGTTTTGTTTCTTGACAGCTACCGCGTGCGTTTCCGCTAGTTGGGAATGTGCTAGGCAATTCCAAGCGTCCTCAGAGACCCGACCAACCCCCACACATCCCACTCCTATGGATGAATCCATCGTGAACCATCGGCACCTTCTGAACCTTTTGAACCATCGGCACTTGCACACGGCTCTGCACTGGCACTTCAACCACCTGTCGGGGATCAAAGTTGAGGGAATCAAGAAGGCAGGCACCCCATTTCAAATGTCTCAGTGAAAATAGGACAGGAACCCAAAGAGCCCAATGACATCCCCTCCAGTCTTTGAACCTGCCATCAACTTGTGCCCGGAGACCGAGCCCTTGGGTGTCGCCTGATCTTCATATTCGACCTGAGGGACGTCCACCATCTTCTGTACCTTTTGGATCATCGGCACCTGCACTTGCTTCGCCACTGGAACCTCCACCACTTGTTCTTCGATCTCGATCTGAGGCACCTGCAACACTAATTCCAATTCGGCTTCAGAAAATAAACCATAGGCCATAGACCACATCCACGCATGTTTGCTCCTAACGCAAATCCTTTTAATGGCTAGAAACACATAAATGCCAAATGACGAATCCGGCCTCCACAATTTTTTGCACCTTTTGGATCATGGGCACCCGCACGTGCTTTTGCACAGGGACTTCCACAATCTGCTCTTCGATCTCGATCTGGGGCACTTCCACCATTTTCTGAACCTTTTGGATCATGGGCACCCGCACGTGCTTTTGCACAGGGACTTCCACAATCTGCTCTTCGATCTCGATCTGGGGCACTTCCACCACTTTCTGAACCTTCTGGATCACAGGCACTTGCACCTGAGAAGGGGTCACTTCATGAAGGGCCTGGACAACCTGAATGCTAGACAACGCTAGCAGAGTTCCTCCCAAATCTCCCATCCCCACGTGTCAACCAAACCTGCAACCGCCTGCAACTGTTTTACGGATCTTTACTGAGCAAAGCCAAGTGCACTGGCTTCTGGATGGGGACCTCCACGATCTTGTCTTCATACTCGATCTGAGGAACATCCACAGACTTTTGCACCTTTGTAATCATAGGAACCTGCTGTGGCACGTGGGATGGTTTTCCGATGTTGGCCCACAGGACCAAAATTGAAAACGGCCACAGGTGAAGCATGCCAAAGGTGACAAAGCAGTACAGTCAGAGAACGATGACAGCAGTCATAATTGATAGATTGATAGAAGCTGGTAGGGAAAAACGATTGGGAACCACCTGTGCCTGGGTGGCCCAAAAAAATGGTAAGGGTATGGTAGAATGGCCAGAATGGGAAAGAAATGGACCAAAAAAAACTCAGCAGTTGCTGGGGCATTGACTTGCGTCCCTAGTGATGATTGCCGAGTCCAGCGAAGGCGCGTAGATTAAACCAGAGGAAAACATACTTTCAGGCCTCCTTGCCTGTGCCTTGAACTGTGGGGAACTCCCAAATGGCATAAAATGTCATAAAATAGCAATCGTCCTGGTAAAAACTGAGGATCCCAAGTTTGAGGCTCTGCATACCCACTCCAAAGTCCCTGATAGAACGCCCCAGCACCAACTTCCCCTTGGGATGCCAAGGGACGTGGACGTGCTTGATCTGTGGAATCTCAACCACTTGATCTTCGTATTCTATCTGAGGCACTTCCACAATCTTTTGGACCTGGAGCTGGCTCCAGGGTCCTGTCTCAATCACACCATCCAAACTTAGGTCCAGTCATCCACCATCTCTAGATGATTCTCCCATACTTCCCCTTCAAAGTTGGGATTTTCCATTGCCATGTTGAATTACCAAAGGGTACTCATCTTAACATTTACATTGGATCGTGAAACAATGCCAACCAACATGTTTGCCCCGACACCTTCTCGATCATGGGAACGTTCACCTGCTTCTGCACTGGTACCTCCACAATCTGATCCTCGTATTGGATCTGCGGCACCTTCACCGTTTTCTGCACCTTCTGAATGGTGGGCACGTGGACCTGCTTTACCATGGGGATCCTCAGTGCAGAGCAGGAGTGGGGGGATGGCGGGCCTGTGTCCAGAGTGGAAATAGCACCACAACCAGGGATGGCTACCCAGACAAATTAGCCCGGTGGATGACTTCGCTGCCTTAGTTTCTACCAATTTCGGGAAGTTGACCTGCTGAAAAATCCCACTTACACTCCAGGAAACCATCAGCAAAAGTGGGCAGCATCCTGACATTCCACAGCATTCCACTGAAAAGTGTCAATCATCAATCAATATCCATCAATATCCATCAGTAGTATTCAATAGTCAGTACCCCGGATTCATGATGACCCCGCTGTTTTTCTCATTGGGCCATTGGATGCCATTGGGGGATATGATGATCACTTGGGGGAACCCAAGCTTTAATCAACCAGGGTGATCCTCCAGGATCCCCAGAGGTACAAACTCAACCGCCTCGCCTCCATGGCCAAGGCTCTCAATGTGCTCGTCCACGTACTCCACTTGTGGCACTTCAACTTCCTGGAAAACGGAAAACGGGAAAGAGCCATCCTACCGAATGCATAACGACCAGCGAATAACGACCAGAGATGGGGACGTACACTACCAATACTATCACCTATCATGTTCATCATTTTAAAGCTAAATAGGATAGGATAGGAAAGAATAGAATAGTTGATCTGCAAATGGCCTTCGCAATTTTTTTTTCGCGAATCGTTCGCGAATCTTTCGCGAACCCCACGTTTATCTTTTGCGGGGGTCTCATGTCAAAATCGTTCACTAAATCTGTCGCCCAAAAAAATCCTTTCGCGGACTCAGAACAAGCTTTCGCGCGGTCTCATGTTGGAACCATGGCGGCCTTTGTAATGGACAATCTCTACATGGACCTTTAGATCGACAATCAAGTAGATAGATAGATAGAGATAGATAGAGATAGATACAGATAGATAGAGATAGATAGGTAGATAGATAGGTAGATAGATAGGTAGATAGATAGGTAGATAGATAGGTAGGTAGATAGATAGATAGATAGCTAGATATAGATACAGATAGAGATAGAGATAAATAGATATAGATAGAGATAGAGATAGGGATAGATAGATATAGATAGATATAGATAGATATAGATAGATATAGATAGATATAGATAGATATAGAGAGATATAGATAGATATAGATGTAGATATAGATAGATATCGATAGATATCGATAGATATAGATAGATATAGATAGCTAGATAGCTAGATAGCTAGATAGCTAGATAGGTAGATAAGTAGATAGGTAGGTAGGTAAGATTGGTAGATAAGATGAGAAAAGATTAGAAAAGATTAGGTAAGATTAGATAAGATTAGATAAGATTAGACAAGATTAGGCAAGATTAGATAAGATTAGAAAAGATTAGAAAAGATTAGAAAAGATTAGATAAGATTAGATTAGGTTAGATTAGGTCAAGGCTAGATTAGATTAGATTAGGTAAGGCTAGATTAGATAAGATTAGATCAGACTATAAAGGATTAGATAAGATTAGATAAGATTAGGCAAGATTCAATAAGATTAGATAAGATTAGGTAAGATTAGATAAGATTAGACAAGATTAGGCAAGACTAGATCAGATTAGAAAAGATTAGATAAGATTAGAAAAAACTAGATAAGATTAGATTAGGTTAGATTCGGTTAGATTGGATAAGATCAAGATAAGGTAGATAGATAGATAGGTAGATAGATAGGATAGGAAAGGATGGATTAGATAGTGATAGGTAGGGATAGGTAGAGATAGACAGAGATAGATAGAGAGAGAGAGAGATAGATAGATATATAGATAGATATATAGATAGATAGAGA